TCATCAATGTGTTCTTAATTTTGACAATCTCATATCATGCAGTTTCCGATGATCATACTTTTTTACTGAAATACGAGGGGGTACCCAAAAAAAACGGAATTATTTTTTAAAAGCTATTTATTTCCAACTTTTTCACAAAGTAACCTTATCTCCTTCAAAATACTGCCCACTACAACTAATACACTTGTCCCACCGGTGCTTCCACTGCTCGAAACGTTTTTTGAAGTCTTCCCTAGAAATGTCTGACAGCTCCTCCCACGTTTTTTTTTCTTGACCTCTTCAATGTCGTCAAAGCAGCGTCGTGTAATGCAGCCTCTTGTGTGGTGGTGACATTGTTTTGTTTTTTTATATTTTGTAACAATGTTGAAAATTGTCTTAGGACATAAGCCAGTTCTGTTCGCCATACGTCTTTCAATCTCATGAATTTTCATTTCAGGATCCTCTAGAATTTTTCTCTTATAAACCTTAAGGACAATTTCTTTTGCCTGAATATTCAAATATCCCTTCTTGTCACGTTTTCGAGGAGGAGACATCACTGAAGAGGAAGCATGTCTGAAGGAAGCATTGGGTGAAATATTCTCAGTTTCATCTGCTGTATCCGTAGATGACATGCAGGCGTATAAACACACGCTATTTATGCACCGAATATGAACCACAACTGCCGGCGTCGGCGTGCCGGCGATACCCCGAGCCTGAGTTCTATCCTGTCGAATCCTGCACGTGTTCTTAGTTTTATGGCCGAACGACCAATAGCTATTGCAACGCTTAGGCGGCTGCCGCTTTGCCGCGCTGCATCTTTGTTTTGCCGGGGCGTAAATGGACGAATAGGGTATAGACACACAAGGAACTAGCGGAACCATGATTTAGCAGGCTAGAAAGTTCATGCAGGATCTGACAAGACTCAGTCTTCTGATTAGAATTCTCACAGACCACTGCAAATCAAACAGACATCTGTTTCTCATGGAAGTACAGGAGAATTTCTTTTCCAAAACATGGGAAACTGGTGTCAAATCCATTGAGCTGATATATTGGGTGTTACGGAATTTCATATATAAGAAATGAAAGAGACTAGTCACGTATATTGTTACTTTCATAAGAATGTCTGGCAGGGTCGGTATCGTGTTATGTCGTTAAATTCAGTGCTGGTCCGCGATTATCAAAAGGTTTAAGGATGTCTTTGTAATCAGAGAGTGCAGATAATGGAGAGCTTTTAATTAATAAGTGCTCTTAGCTTTAATTTCCCACGTCTACTTGTGGAGAAGTATTGTAACCGCGAAAATGAGATATGCTCTTTGGTTGATGACATGTCACTCATTTCCATCGGGCTGTCTGTCGTTCTGCCGGCCTGTCCGCCAATCCTTGACCCTTCTATAACTGGGACAGTACTGCTCCGTAGGGGTATTACGTATCTTGAGAAGTGACTCTATGTCGGCTTTTTTTGACAGTATATAGGTTTTTTTTCTGATATTATGTAGGTTTTCCTATAAGATATAAACTTGAAACTAGCCGCTGTTTACTGTAGCTGTACGTGTTTCCTAAAGGTCGTAACGCTTGAGCTATCACCGTTTGTCTTTGATATGATGCAATTTTAATTGCTGTCACATCAAGCTATACGGAGTGTAATTTAATTCCTAAAAATACAGGATGTGATTACTTAACTCATTTTAGGAAAAAAGGTTTATATGAACATATGTCCTAAATCTCTTAACTTTTGAGGTATAGCGAGTTAAAATTTTAAGAAAAAAATCGTTTTACCAACAACTTTAATACTGTTCTAGATATTTTCATCAAATTTGACAAGCACCTACTTAGCATCGATTTGCATTTTTTATGTAGGATATTTTTAGTATTTCTACCCATGGCGTCCGTACTGGATGTATACTGGAGGCCATTGCTTTTTCAGAAAACAAAAATTATTTTTAAAATCCTCCTTTATCTTGCAATAAATCTGACCTCCTGACTTTTTTTGCTGTTAATATACCAGTTTGTTTTAAATCTTGTCTAATCATAAATATCATTCTGCCTAAAGTAAGAGATACGAAAAAGATAAGTGGTAGTCGAAAGTATCTCGTGTCTGACCCTTTGAGCGTCAAGCATCAAATCCCTGAATTATTTTCTTCACTGAAGCTGCCCAGGGTGACAGTTTCAGTCTACAGTACTGTCTCCACACTTTAAATAGGAGGCTGGCGCCTCAGGAGTTGCTGAGCTAGAGAGGCAGGTAGTTCGCCAGTTAGTGATCACGAGAAAAGAGCGTTACAAGCGGTATCTAAATCGTATCATTCCCGATGCCAGAATTTTTCTAGAATGCACAGAAGACTTCATGAAACTGGGAGTCATAGCATTGACAATAGTTCCAAAGGGGCACATCGCACGGTGAGAACACCAGAATTAGAGGAAGCTGTTTTAAACACAATTCAGGAATATCCAGAAACAAGTGCTAAGAAAATTGTGATAATCTTTCCCATTTCATTATTTGGAAAATACTTGTTGATAATTTACTATAACCCTATCATATTCAAATTGTTCAAGCGGTACTGCTGCGTTATTTTCCATTGCGTTTAAATTTATGCCGATAGTTTTTAGAAAAACTTGCTGAAATCCCTTTATTTGATATCAAAGTACTCTTTAGTGATGAAGCTACTTTTTCCCGCAACTCCATTTGAAATTTCCATAATGATCAAGTATGAGCTAGGACCATTCTTCCTTCCAGGACGACTGGATGCACTATCCTATCGTCACTTTCTTGAAAACGATTTGCCAGTTTTGCTCGAGGATGTACCTGCTTTATTAAGAGAAGGAATGTGATACATGCATGATGGTGCTCCTGCATATTTTAGCATTCATGCTAGGGAATTTCTAAATGAAGCGTTTACGAATCGCTGCATCTGACGTGGGGAAATTCAATCTTAGCCTCTCAGGTCCCCTGATTTAAATAGTTCAGACTATTTTTTGTGGGGGCACCTCAAGACTTTAGTTTATACTACACTGGTTCAAACTGTGGAGAAACTAAGGCAGAACATTTACTTTCTTGCCAAACCATAAGAACACTTCTGGAATTTTTGAAAGGGTTCGCCTTTAAATGCGAAAGAGAATTGAAGCCTCTATTCTAGCAGGGCATTTTCAACAATTCTGGTGATAATTAAATTAAATTGTATTAGTTTATTTGACTCACAGAAATTGTCAAAACTTGTTGCAAACTTTTTTTAATTTTTATGCGTTGCAAAATGGCTAAAATATCGTATGGTAGTTTGTAGGTCAGATGTGTTTTTGTTTAATTTTTATTGAAGTAAAGTCAATTGATTAAAATATTTTTTACGCGAAAACGGTGCATCGGACGGAAAAAAGTCAAGAGATCAAATTTGTTGCAAAATAAAAAGTAATGGCGCATCATATTTTTTTTTTTAAAAACCTCCAGTACACATCCGAAAATGCCTATTGGTGGTTAGTAGGTGCATGTCAAATTTCATAAAAATATCTATAATCTATAATAGTATTAAAGATATGATAAGAAAAAGAATATTTTCTTAAAATTTGTACACCCTGTAGCCCAAAAGTTAAGAGGTTTCGAACATATATTATGTTTATATAAACTGTTCTTCCTAGAATGAGCTGAGGAATCATTTCCTGTATTTTTAGCCATCAATTAAATTATACCCCGTATATTGTATCAGATTTGTGCAAATGCTAATTTTTCATCGTTGATGCTAATTTAGACAGAACCGTCCTCAGCACATGTGAGGCCTGCAGCAAAATATTTTTGCGGGGCCTTTTTTTAAAGAAAGTGGTCTACTCCGAAAATTTTTTAAAATGCTCTTGCGAATAAGTGTTTTAGCATTTTTGATGAAGTCATTTTATCTCAAAACACGCCAATTATTTACGTAATTTTTTTCATTTGCCAGGGTTGATTCTATATTTATTTTTGATGTGAGTATACAATATTTCAATCTGTGTGAAGAATTGAGATAAGAAAGAAATATGATTTATAACTATGGTCTAAACTCTTCCACTTTAATTTTTTAAGAAATTAGTCATTAGGAAAATTATAATAAAATTTAGGTCTGCCAGGGAATAAATAATATCGTATAAGAAATTTTTTTTGTTTTGTAGTGGATAATTAATCATGAATAAGCACATATTGTTACAAAATATTGGTATTATTTGCACATACTATTATTTGTTTGGTATTTTCAAGCGAAAATCTATTGTTTAGACTTTTTCTCGGCAGATTCTGGCATAGGCTCATCTTCTCCCTTGAACTTAAACATTCTTCTTTATCTGTCTGACTTCTTTGAACCATGCCTTTACACCCACAGTCTCAGAAAGTTCTCTTGCTACCAATGTGGCCGCCACAAAACTTTCAACTCTAAATTTCTGAAAAAAAACTGAACTCGCCTGTGAAGTAACTGCGACGCAACTCCAAGGCAGCGCGACGGCCAGCATGAGTCACCCACCGGCATGCGCGGGGTTTGGGAAGCTGTCACCTCGGACCCCGCCGCCCCTATTAAACGATGTTTTGCGAAAGTAATCAGACAGATATTTTAGGCACGTATATTTGTACATTGTTATATTATTTTCATTCAACCAATACTTCCACAGCGCGGCGCCTGGAGCGGCCGCTCCACTCGCTCTACCCTAAAGACGGCTCTGAATTTAGAGCTCGGACGCAAATTAAAAAATAAGTTTTTCTAGCTAAACAAAGTCATTTATAGCGTATTTCTTCATTTGATATAAGAATTAGGTGATCATCTTACACAGACCGTATAATTATTCTCTAGTTTGAGAGACATTTTACAAGAAATCGACCATACTCATTGGATCGATTACTTCAAAGACTTCTTTTTGACTGAAATTACGACCCAAGAGCATTTCTGCTTAGTAAAATCGGGCCTAAAACCAATGTGCATCGAACCATGGTGTTGCGAGATGCATTTCGTCTTGATGGGTAGCGCGCCTTATTAGTTGCACAATAGCCTTCTAATGCGGTTTTTTCTTTATTTCAGCTTTTCATGATAGATAACTGCGCCGATGATTGGCGCATAGCAATGACGTGGCAGAGGATATGCCAAATTTCGATGGAGCTGATCATTTGTGCGGTGCATCCCATCCCAGGCCACTACTTATTCGTGTGGACGACAAAGCTGGCAAACAAGAATGGCGGAATCGGTCGAAAGTGCGTACCGTACGATGTGCCCTTGTCACTCCCGATGTTCCTCAGGCTGTACCTCATCTGTAGGGTCATGCTGTTGCACAGCAAGTTGTTCACGGACGCATCGTCGCGTAGTATAGGTGCACTAAATCGGATTAACTTCAACACTAGGTTCGTGTTAAAGACATTAATGACTATTTGTCCCGGGACAGTGCTGTTGGTGTTCATGGTCTCGCTGTGGATCATCGCCAGCTGGACGTTGAGGCAGTGCGAGAGGTAAGTCGATTTTTAACACGCCCCAGTACGTCTATCTATAATCCTATGTCAAATCCTTTCCTCACAATGAGGTGAATAAAAAAAACGTCAAGTAGGTCGAGTCTGTAGTTTTCTCCTAATTATATCTTCAATCAGATATTGTTTGGTTTATTTCCACATCATAATGTCATATGGACTAAGACTCAAAACAAATCGATCAAAGAAATTGTATGCGGAAAATAGAGTCGACCTACTTGACACAATGTTCATTCAAAAGACTTTAATGAAATCAAAACCTAATTGCTCGTATATATTAAATACCTTAACATCAAGAAAACTTGGCAACAAAGCTATTTTGGAAAAAGGGGTTCTAAGAAAAAGTTTCAGGGTACCAAATAAATACCTTCTCGATGACCTCAGATATGACCTAGACAATGACCTTAATGATCACTTCGAGGTTAAGTTACAGCAACCACCATTTTCGAAAACAGATTCCTGTGGAAATGGAGATTCTGCATCAGATTTTATTTTTACATACATGAAGTCAAGCGGTCATGTGGTTTAATCAGCATAACCTACTGTAACGTCTGGAAAGTACACCAACACCCCGAAATCCTGGTAACCCCGTACTATTTTGAATAATGATTTAGAGAAAAGATTCAGAGTATCAAATAAAAAATTTGTCGATGACCTCAGATATGACCTAGACAATGACCTTAGAGGTCATTTGAAGGTCAACTTTGTATATTCAAATAGCAACCTCCATTTCTGAAAACACATTCGTGTCGAGGTAGAGATTCTGCATCAGATTTCATTTTCATACATGAGGTCAAGCGGTCATAAGTGGGTCAATCAGCATTACTTACTGTAACTCCTGAAAAGTACAGGAACATCCCAAAAACTTAGAAACCTCACACTTCCGAAAAAACGGTTCGGGGTAAAACTTCATGGTACCAAATAAACAATTTATCGAAGACCTCAGATATGACCTAGACACTGACCTTAGAGGTTATTTGGAGGTCAACTTTGTAAATCCAAATAGCATCCACCATTTCTGAAAACAGATTCGTTTCGGGCTGGAGATTCTGCATCAGAGATCATGTTTATACTTGAGGTCAAGCGGTCATAAGCATGACCTACTGTATTGTCTGAAAAGTACACCAGCATTCCTAAAACTTGGTAACCTCGAACTATTTTGAAAAATGATTTTGAGAAAAGTTTCAGAGTATCAAATAAAAAATTTATCAATGACCTCAGATATGACCTAGACAATGACCTTAGAGGTCATTTGGAGGTCAACTTTGTATATTCAAATAGCAACCTCCATTTCTGAAAACATATTCGTGTCGAGGTAGAGATTCTGCATCAGATTTTATTTCCATACATGAGGTCAAGCGGTTATAAGTGGGTCAATCAGCATCACTTACTGTAACTTCTGAAAAGTACAGGAACATCCCAAAAACTTGGTAACCTCGCACTTTCGAAAAAACGGTTCGGGGTAAAACTTCATGGTATCAAATAAACAACTTATCGTTGACCTCAGATATGACCTAAACACTGACCTTAGAGGTTATTTGGAGGTCAACTTTGTAAATTCAAATAGCATCCACCATGTCTGAAAACAGATTCGTTTCGGGCTGGAGATTCTGCATCAGAGTTCATGTTTATACAAGAGGTCAAGCGGTCATAAGCATGACCTACTGTATTGTCTGAAAAGTACACCAGCATTCCGAAAACGTGGTAACCTCGAACTATTTTGAAAAATGATTTTGAGAAAAGTTTCAGAGTATCAATTTTATCAATGACCTCAGATATGACCTAGACAATGATCTTAGAGGTCATTTGGAGGTCAACTTTGTATATTCAAATAGCAACCACTATTTCTGAAAACATATTCGTGTCGAGGTAGAGATTCTGCATCAGATTTCATTTTCATACATGAGGTCAAGCGGTTATAAGTGGTTCAATCAGCATTACTTACTGTAACTTCTGAAAAGTACAGGAACATCCTAAAAACTTGGTAACCTCACACCTTCGAAAAAACGGTTCTGGGAAAAACTTCATGGTATCAAATAAACAATTTATCGCTGACCTCAGATATGACCTAGACACTGACCTTAGAGGTTATTTGGAGGTCAACTTTGTAAATCCAAATAGCATCCACCATTTCTGAAAACAGATTCGTTTCAGGCTGGAGATTCTGCATCAGAGTTCATGTTTATACTTGAGGTCAAGCGGTCATAAGCATGACCTACTGTATTATCTGAAAAGTACACCAGCATTCCGAAAACTTGGTAACCTCGAACTATTTTGAAAAATGATTTTAAGAAAAGTTTCAGAGTATCAAATAAAAAATTTATCAATGACCTCAGATATGACCTAGACAATGACCTTAGAGGTCATTTGGAGGTCAACTTTGTATATTCAAATAGCAACCACCATTTCTGAAAACATATTCGTGTCGAGGTAGAGATTCTGCATCAGATTTCATTTTCATACATGAGGTCAAGCGGTCATAAGTGGTTCAATCAGCATTACTTACTGTAACTTCTGAAAAGTACAGGAACATCCCAAAAACTTGGTAACCTCGCACTTTCGAAAAAACGGTTCTGGGAAAAACTTCATGGTATCAAATAAACAATTTATCGTTGACCTCAGATATGACCTAGACACTGACCTTAGAGGTTATTTGGAGGTCAACTTTGTAAATTCAAATAGCATCCACCATGTCTGAAAACAGATTCGTTTCGGGCTGGAGATTCTGCATCTGAGTTCATGTTTATACATGAGGTCAAGCGGTCATAAGCATGAAATACTGTATTGTCTGAAAAGTACACCAGCATTCCGAAAACTTGGTAACCTCGAACTATTTTGAAAAATGATTTTGAGAAAATTTTCAGAGTATCAATTTTATCAATGACCTCAGATATGACCTAGACAATGATCTTAGAGGTCATTTGGAGGTCAACTCTGTATATTCAAATAGCAACCACTATTTCTGAAAACATATTCGTGTCGAGGTAGAGATTCTGCATCAGATTTCATTTTCATACATGAGGTCAAGCGGTCATAAGTGGTTCAATCAGCATTACTTACTGTAACTTCTGAAAAGTACAGGAATATCCCAAAAACTTGGTAACCTCGCACTTTCGAAAAAACGGTCCGGGGAAAAACTTCATGGTATCAAATAAACAATTTATCGAAGACCTCAGATATGACCTAGACACTGACCTTAGAGGTTATTTGGAGGTCAACTTTGTAAATCCAAATAGCATCCACCATATCTGAAAACAGATTCGTTTCGGGCTGGAGATTCTGCATCAGAGTTCATATTTATACATGAGGTCAAGCGGTCATAAGCATGACCTACTGTATTGTCTGAAAAGTACACCAGCATTCCGAAAACTTGGTAACCTCGAACTATTTTGAAAAATGATTTTGAGAAAAGTTTCAGAGTATCAAATAAAAAATTTATCAATGACCTCAGATATGACCTAGACAATGACCTTAGAGGTCATTTGGAGGTCAACTTTGTATATTCAAATAGCAACCACCATTTCTGAAAACATATTCGTGTCGAGGTAGAGATTCTGCATCAGATTTCATTTCCATACATGAGGTCAAGCGGTCATAAGTGGGTCAATCAGCATCACTTACTGTAACTTCTGAAAAGTACAGGAATATCCCAAAAACTTGATAACCTCACACTCTTGGAAAAAACGGTTTAGAGAAAAGCTTCATGGTATCAAATATGACGTAGACAATAACCTTACGAGGTCGACTTTGTAAATAGCAATAGTCATTAGCAGTATGTACGCCCTGAAAGTACACGAACGCCCCGAACTCTCGATAACTATGCACTTTTGAAATAACGTTCAGAGAATTTTTGGTCGCTGTATATCAGTAGCGTTGGTTGTGAGAACCAAGACCATCCAGCGCCAATGCTCACCAGACAAGGCTAATGCGTATTCTAGCGTCCACATAGTAGTATTAGTCTATGTTGGTCAACATTTTTGCCACTTTATCTATATTATATAGAATGTCACACATTTTTGATGGCTCCAGTTTTTTCACTATTTCAGTTACGAATAGTTGTATAGTACAGTGGTTGAAGTTCGATCCATATTTTCTATCAAGCATCATAACGAACTCAATTCGCATCAGCACCACCCTGTGCATGTACCAGAAGGTCATTAGCAACAACAATGGAGAACAGATATTTCAATGTTTAATCACCTCACACTCTGATGCGTCATGCTCCAGATATGAATGGGTATAATTGATTTGCCCGCAAATATTTTCAATCGCCTTAGAACAAAGCAGACTGCTCAATCGGTTGGAATATACGGAGCATTGGATCCTTCCACTGAACGATTATCTTGCATTTGCTGTTATCGACAATACCTTTTTGTAATGGATGATGTACTCTTTTGGTACGGACAATATGGTTATTATGATTTCGGCTTTATTTTTATTACTTAATATACAGGGTCTTATATTAGATTTATCGAAAACCACTGTCAAGGGGGCCAACTTTTTAACAAAAAACTACTTCACCCCTTTTCACCCTCGGCCCCCAGGGTCATTCCCTTAAAAATTTTAAATGACAAGGAGTATCGAGTAATAGCTTGATGTAAAGGTCTTTCAAAGTCCTTTGTTTTGACGTTTGATTTTTTAAAATCGATCGTTTTCGATAAAATTAGAAAAATCTTTCTTTATCTTAATTTGTTCAGGTAGAAAACAAAAACACACTAAATATCACTTTTTATTTCAATAAGTGTTCAAAATGTTTCCCATTAGGGGTTGCCAAATCTAAAATTCGTTTATAATTTAAAACGGAGACTACTAGAGCAATTCGGAAGGTTAGACTTCGCAACCACCAAATAACAACCCGAATTTTTTTTCGCATTCTTTTGATCAACCCAGATATCCTGGGCGAACTGTATATATTCTCATACCTGTTTAGTTATTTGTTGCTGGAAAGAAAGAATTTGATTTGCTGTCAGTTACCTTTGTGACAATCTT